GAGTGTTTTGGAAGGTAAATAAGTTTTCCCAAAGGGCCTTTGGAAAGTCAAAGGGCTAGTTCAGAAATAATAAGTGAGAGATATACCAGATGCATTGGAGGAGACAAGCAATTGTGAGGGCACATTGACTAGTCATGGCGACTAGGTGGGTTTAAGAGGCGAGGAAGGGGTCAAAGGCAGTGAGAGGGTTATTTTGAGCTTGGAAGACTTGGATAATAGTAAAAACTTAAATAGGATAGTCAGAAGGAGAAATAAGGTTTTTGTTAGAAGGGTTTTTGTTTGTTTGTTTTTAAAAATTTTATTTTAAATCTTTAACATTTGTGAAAAAGATTCACCTTAACTGGTGTGAGAGAGACTGGTTGATCTCCTGAGACTGTGGCCCTTAGACACCTTTCACACCTACAGCCTCGGGGATCACCTTTAAGCCCATAAAAGGCCTATAACATGCACAGTAACACTCAGCAGGAGCAGACTCCTTAGAATAGTCAACCACAGGTGACCAAAAGGCAGCGCATGCCCCAACACGAAGCTTGAAAGGCGGGAAGTGCTAGGAAAGAAGGCTGCTGGAAACAGGGGAGACAGGGCGGGTATCGGAAGACCATGGTAAATCTGGGGGATTGTGTCACAAACAATGTGTTTTTTAAAAAGATAGTGTTGTTGTTGTGAGGTGCTGTTGATTTGGTTCTGATTCTCAGAGACCCAGTGTGCAACAGAGCAAAACAACACTCTAGGCCCTGCGTCATCCTCACAGCCATTACCAAGTTTGCTCCCAAGAGTCACTGCTATGTTTGCAGCCGTGTGTCAAGCCAGCTCACCCTTTAAGATTACAGCTAAGAAAACCCCATGGAGTCCTTCTCTGGAATAAGGGCGACTGTGAGTCAGTGGCCAATTCATTGGCAACTAACTATTGCCCTAAGGAAAGACGAGTTCTGAGCCCTAAGGCAAGACTGGAGTTCTGGTGACTCCAAGGAGAGGCTTGTCTGTGTCGCAGAGCTCACAGACCTTAGAAACTCACTGGAGTGTAATTCTACTTGGAAACGGGTAGGGTGACCACACGTCATTTATAGCGATTCAGGTTTAATCATTATTTATCCCATCATTTGGTTTCTCAATAAAGTCAGCCTGATACAATTTGCAATAAAAACAAAACCAAAAGATACTCTTTATGTTTGAAGTAACCAGGACACTTCATTGGGGACCAATAGTAATTCCAGGTGCAAAGAACATTGCACTTGAGAGGGATCATTGAGATTTGAGTTATAAACTCTGAGTCACATAAAACCCTGATCTCTTACCTGTGAGCCAACTGACTCAAAGGATCAGCAACAGCTCTTAAGAACACCATCTCCGGCCTACACACAGCACACGTAGGGGAGCAGATGTAGACAGTCACTTCCAATGTTTTCAGTGGTACTTAGAAAGCATTTCTCATTGATGCTGTAATTTTCCCTTTTCAATCTCAGGAGCCATTATACAAAGAGTTCTAGGCAATGCATTTGGCGAAGTCATCTCAGGAGTATAAACAACATGTTCAAAGATTGAGGCAATATACTCACACATCCTTACTAAGAGGGTCGGCCTTAGCTTGCCCTCAAATGAGATATCAGTGAGGGATTTTTTGATTTTTCTTTTGTTATTAGTTGCCTGCAAGTTGGCTCTGACGCATGGTTACATCTACAAGAGAAGGACATGTTGCCAATCCTGGCAGTATCTTCATGCTTATTGGTTTGTTAGGGTCTGTTTTGTGTAGTGGGTTCTGTGTAGACACCACCAGCTGAAGCCTGGTCAGTTCTAAATATGTTTAGCATGGCTGACGCTTTCCTGATGGTTTTGGATTTAGGTGCTGGGGGCACCACATTGACTTTTGAGGAGAAAAAAGACAAAAAACCAAACTCATTGCCATCGAGTCAATACTGATTCCTAGCAAGCCTGTAGGACAGGGCAGAATTGCCTCTGTAGGTTTCTGAGACTGTAACTCTTTCCAGGAGTAGAAAGCCTCATCTTTTCCCCATGGGGTGGCTGGTAGTTTTGAACTGCTGACCTTCCAGGTAGCAGCCCAGTGCATAACTATTATGCCACCAGGGCTCCTGTTGAGGAGAAAAACACTTGCTAACTCATCCCAAATTTAGCATCTCAAGACAGGCCTTTAACTAATCCTTCTTCTACTGCTTGTTTCTCCAAGGGAGCGGCTAGAATGACGGGGGCAATTGTAAGCAGAATTGGTTCTGGACACATGCTACATAGAAATGGTGGCACTCCAGAGAGTTGAAGGCCCTGTTTCTATCTGTGGTGTACATGTTTTTCTACATAACCTCTGTTACTTGTGGGATAGAAAATAATGTCTTACCTGTGAGTGATAATTTATAACGGGTGTGAACTTCCCATCACACCCTTGGTTGTCACCTACCCTAGGTTGTCACCTACCCCAACTTGCAAAGACTGCACTGAACTTTTACTTTTTGGAGGCCCTGAGTGATGCTCCCAAATGGAATTGCTCTTAACATGTGAGTCCTTCCATTAGCTCGCTGCCTCCGAGCAACTGCCTTCCATGGTCCAGAGTTCAAAAGAAGGCAAGGGCAAATGAGTGGCTGTGAGGGAAGAGGCCTTTTGTTCTTTTTTTCTAGCTACGAGACCCAAGGACGAGCGTGACTGGGAAATGTGCTGCATAAGAATAGACAAGAATCAGTTCCTTTCCTGTAAAATGAAAGATGGACTAATTAAACCTTAGTCATCACTAGCAGGGAAGTACAATTATCATAAAATATTAACAGCTAGTCATTTACTATCATGAGCCTAACTCTTTCCTGAGGCCTCCCTATTTCCTAAACTGCAACAATTGCACTGAGATTTAAGAGAATTATTAGTTTCACAAACTTATTTTAAACCACTTCCCATTAGTCGTAATTGCCGTGGTCTTCCCAAGAGTTCTGAGAGCTTAACACCCCATATAAAGGCCAAACATATTATAACAAATAATCAGACGATAGGGAAATTGTGATTATCTGTCCTCTGATAGTGAAGAATGATACTTAGAAACAGCTCATTGGAAAAGCCACATGCCTAAGGTTCTAGGTGATGGGCTTTAGTAGTAGAGATTAGCCTCGGCTGGGAGAAGAACAAAAATTTCATGCCGAAATGGAAGCCTCTAGCATTGCTGGTAGAGGCGAATGTACTGCCATTCAAACTGAAGTCTTAAGGAGTAGACAGGCTCTAGGTTCTGTCCATACCAACGGAAACACCAAGGCAGAATTTTTTGGATTTATAGATCCACTTAATCAGATGGCAGGACATTTGCTCTTTCTCACTAACTGAACTAGTTAGCCCCTGCATGCTGAGTTTCTTGGGTGCTCTGCTATCAGTGACCTGTCTTCTCTGTTGTGGAATGTAGGTGCAAAGAGCGGAGGGGAGCTCGATGATGCTGAACTGGTAAGGCTCAGTAAGAGGCTGGTGGAGAACGCGGTGCTGAAGGCTGTCCAGCAATACCTGGAAGAAACACAGAACAAAAACAAGCCAGGGGATGGGAGCTCTGGGAAACCGGAAGAAGCGGATAGGAATGTCCGTGACAGTGATAGCAACAGGAAATGAGACCTGAACCTTGGTCCCACAGCTCCGCCAAGGCATCCTGCTGCCCTCTGCTACGCCACCGGACTGACCTACGTTGTGCCACTTAAGTGGTTCTAATCCAAGGAGATGGTCTAGTACTCTCATGATAGAAGCCTTTGCCTTTCTGAAACACATGAGAAGAGGGATGGAATGCTGGGATAAGCCGAAGACATTAATGGATAGGAGAATGGTCTAGATTTCCCTCACCTCCGGCAAAGGAAGCTCTTGCTGTGTGCAGGGCAAGGGGCCCTTGGATGAAGCCTAGTGGACTCGAATTTAAGGCCGTGGAAAGGCTTTGCCATACATGGAATACTGCCATTTTTATCGCTTAGCAGGGCATTCGACCACTTATTCTCCCTGAGGCCAAAACACAAAGCTAATGAGTGCTAAGTTTAAAATAACCACTGTTGAAGTCATCATTCGTAGAGTCTCAATATATGATGTTTCATGTTTGTCTGAAGTATGCTGTTGCTATGCAGTGATCTTTATTTACCATAAATTATGTTTAATGTAAATGATATATTTTTAGTGAAATGGAACCTTTTCTATAAAATGTGGGCAACCTTTCAAAGATTTTGTAACTCTCTTCTGATAAGTCAGTGTGCCATATCTTAATGTTCTTCATTGGTATTTGTATGTAAAATATATAATTTCTTCCTTTAGGCGAGAAACCTACTGAAATCCATGAAGCTTTGCATCGAGAAAGGATGCATCGGAATCTCAAAGTGAAACAGTTAAAGGAGCTTTTATTAAAGCCTGAGACTCAGGCCAAAATTAGGAGGGAGCTTTTTGAAGGAAGACTCATCAACTACAGGGATCAAGTAAACAATGTTGAGTTTAGTGCGACTTTGACATAAATTCTGTATGTTGCTATCATGACATGCAGTTCTTGCCATTTTTTCTGTTTATGAAATATCTGGTGAGTACCTCAGAGGTATTCTGACAGTGGCCCCATTACAACGCAAGCCACCATTTGGTAAGGAATAAACCATTTCTTGCCAAAGAAAACTGTTTGGTTCCATTATGTTTTATGGTAAACTTCTGCTGTAGAATATTTGTTCTCTGTAATGTTGAGAATTATTTTGCGAAAAGGACTTCTTAATGAGCTGTGGTGAGATGTTGCTTGGGTCCTTGTAGAGAACAGATATAGAATGAAAAATCACTTATAGACAAATATCCGTGCTTTAAGAGTCATTGACTTCTCTTGACACGATTTTCTTTTTAAATGAAAAGAAGCACTATTTAGCTGTGTTGCCGTCTAGGGTTTTTTCTAGTAGGAACTGTGAATGTTTCTTAAGCATTAGTACTTGTACGGACACTTATACATGTCTAAATGTAATGATTGCAATCACTGGCTAGGAATGCTTAGCAAGCCCATAGGCATTTTAAAAAATTGATCAAACAGAAATTTCTTTTTGTGATTGTTTAATTTTCTACTTTTCCGAAATCCATCTCCAGGTCTTACCTTATCCTTGGCAGTCTCAATTTCTTTGCACTGATTCACGTTTAAAACGAATTCTTGAAAAATATCCCCATGTGATAATTCTTGGCAACAGATTTCCCCCCTAGTCTTCATAAAATTGCTGCCACCAGAAGATCATGATGAAGTAGAAAAATCACTTGGAGATTGTTATGGATTGAACTGCGACGCCCCCCTCCCCAAGCATATGTTGTGTCATCTCAACCTCCATCCCATTTGAAAACGACTCTTTTTTTGATAAGTCAGTGAGGCAAGATTAGTATAGGGTATATCTTGAGTCAATCTCTTAAAATAGACAAGAGATTAAAATCAAGCCAGCAAGCAGAGATGGGGAGATCGATGCCATGACACCCGGAGATCGCTAGAGCCCCAGGAGGCAGAAACTTAAGGGACAGGGACCCTTCCTGCAGAGTCAGCAGAGAGAGAGAGCGAGAGAGAGAGAGAGAGAGAGAGAGAGAGAGAGAGAGAGAGAGAGAGAGAGAGAGAGATTGTAGGGCCAGAGCTCTGAATTCGGTCACCTGGCTCCTGAAACTGTGGAGAAAATACATTTCTGTTTGTAAAAGGCACCCATGTGGGGAGTTTCTCTTATTGCAGCACTAGAAAACTGAGACAGAGATCGAGTATGAAAACCTTTCCAAATATGAAATCCAGTCTGATCATGGATTTTTACTATTTTTCCCACTGGGCATGATATCACATTTATTTGTAATGAGTTTATGCATTTTTCATGCCTCATAATAAATGTTTTCTTTCCCCCTGGTTGCCTTTCTGTGATTTCTTCTCAACCTTGGCAGTGGTTGTATCTATGGTGGTGCAATGACGTCAGAAACAGGACCTCTGAGGTCTCTGTGTTTTTTTTTTTACCCTTGCCTTCCTGTTCTCCGTGCTAAAATAGCAGTTGTCAGAGCCTCTGAAGACAAACGGGGTGGGGACATTGTCAACTGCAGACGTTTAACATCAGTCTGCTCCCCAGAGAAGAAAGAACAAGAACACTGACTTCAAAGGAAATCAAATAGCATTTCATCACCAGCTAATGGCATGTGACTGGAGTGACATCACTAGCAAAGGTGAAAGGTGCTGGTCTGTCCAGATGTGAAAACCTGGGAGCTGCCTGACCACTAGACGCCTCCCAGTGGGAGAGGGTCTGACTGTGTGTAGAGGGCTTCCTGGAATCAACCTTCACAATAGCCAACTGAAATATTTCGGGCCTCAGTTTTCAAATGAGAAGACAGAGCCCGAGAGGTGAGTGTTTGAACCATGGCCACAGCGCGGTCAGGGAACTGGGCCTGGACTTCCGAGCCCACTTAGGGGTCCAGCTCACAATTCCAAAGCTTTTTTCACTGTCCAGTCACAACCTAAGTTTATAATATTTCAGGAAAGGTAGAATGGATCATGGCCATTTCTGAAAGAGTAAGATGGTTGCATTTGCAGTCTGAGCTCACATGTCTGACTTTTTTGCTTTAGTAAGGAAGCATAGTTCCCAATTTGCTAAACACTCACGAAATCTCAGACAACGTGCCATGTGATTTAAGCACATTATCACATTTCGTCCCTTCAGTGACCCTGTTAAGAACTTTTGAGTACTGTTTTACTGACTAAAAAAAACGGGGGCTCTAAGTGGTGGCATAGCCCAGGGTTATTGGTAGAGTTAAATATAAACTTGAAAGTCAACACTCCTTCCACAATGGAACTCTTCTTCCCTCCACTCAGTAAAATGCGTTTCACAAATTAACGGTGCCTGACAAAGACAGTCACTTTCCTTTGACTAGACCAGCTCCCTTGCCTCCCTGAAATTCGGGGACATCTGAGAGGAGTCAGCTGATGTGATGGAATGGGGCAGAAACTCATCTTATTTAATCTAGGAATTAAGCATGCTCCTCCAGGTGATAGGTTTATTTAGGCAGGGTTATGAAAACAATGGAAAGTCTCAAAGAAAACAAATCTCCTGGTTCTATTATAAAAATCCAGTACCACAGCAGTTGGCAGAAATCTGTTTGAAATATGAATTATTCAAATTGATTTTTTTACGTCAATCTGATTCACAGAATAATTGCTCATAGGGTCACATAGCTGGAGGATATTGTCTGAAGTTGAGACTGGCCATGATGTAGCCTTGCCTCCTGGCAGGAAGACTGCTCTGGCTGCTGAAAGAACACTATCTCGAGGAAAGGCAGACGGGCATCTCCACGTGGCTCCCCCGCCGACAGGTGATCTTGAGCAATTGATTTCATGCTTCTGAGTCTCAGCTTTCTAGTCTACCACAGGAAACAATTTGACCAGGTAAATTGGACAAGTGGTTTCTAAGCACTCTAGACCAGTGTTCTTTGCGACAATATCAGGACGCCTCCCTTCTTGATTGGGCCACTGTAGTGCATCTGTGGCTTCAAATTCTAGAAGACTCGATGCTCATTTGCACCTGTGCTGATTGTCGTCCTCATGGAGGGAAAACTCAGTGGCATGTAGTGAAGGTTAATGTGACGTATCAATTTCACATGAGTTTTATTATTGATCTGATGTAAGGGAAGTTCCCTTGGGGGTGTGGCATGCATCCAATATATGTGGACCTTCTGGCAAAGCTCACTCATGTTCCATGCTGCATCCAACGCATCATCTTCTGATCTCCAGCTCTTGGGACGTGAACCAGCAGCCTTCCGCCTCACCTGATTTGTGCTTCAGGCCCTGTAAACACAGGAAAAGACCCCAGCCTGATACCTGACCCACGTGTTTGAGATAAACTTTACCACACACAACCCAAACCAAAGCACAAACTCACCGCTATGGAGTATTGCGGACTCCTGACCACCACAGGTTTGTAAGCTGGCGACAGTTTATGGAAGCAGAGAGCCCAGTCTTTCTCCTCCTGTAGAGCTGCTGGGTATTTTCGAACTGCCGACCACATGGAACACAACCCAATGCCATTATCTTTTAATTCCATTTCCCCCCTAACATTTGTCACCCCTCTCACACCCATAGACCAGCTTCACTAGTTTGGCTCCTCTAAATATCCAGCCTAAAACCCATATTCACATTCCTAACCAGATGTCAGCAGTGTTAAGGACAAGTTACTCAAAAAGTAGCTCTTACGTAAACATCTCAAGGGAAGTCAGACCAATACTGTCAACAAGACAAGAGTCTGTCAGCTCTGAACTCAGTCCCATCCACAGCTCTTGAATTATTATTTCATCCATTACTTCTCAGTGTCACACTTTGAAAGGTATTAGATGTATAACTAAAACATACTTAACATCCAAAACATTCACCCCAGCCCTCCCAGCGGCCAGCGATTCCCCACAAGGAGGTAATTTAAACAGATTCGACTTCCCATTCTGGATGCCATTGCTCCTGACCCCACTGCCATGTTAGGTGCCCAAACAACAATTTATTTCATTCTGCAGAAAAAGCAAACCTGTTTCTAAACAAAGAATGCTAAGTGGATGACCTATCATCCTTCCTTCCTTCCCCATCCCTTTCAAACCTCAGCTAACATATTTAATCTTTGAACAGACTGTAGCTGCATTCCTGGATGTATTCTTGCAGACAGATACAATTCATGAAGCAATGAACAATAAAACAGTGTACTTCCAGAGTTTTCACGTCCCTGTGTGAATGTGATAGCAGCCACACATGCAAACAAAGAAGACAAACCCATGGGCTATTTCATTCACAGGAAAAATGAATATGAACGTAATTTACTCTGAGTTAGTAAATTTAAAATTCCAATTCTAATACATTCCTTTTCCTGGATCAGTGTCTTGTGGAAAATAAAGCTTGTTTCTAAGGTAATTTGAGCACTTCTGATGGAAGGGCACTCTCATCATCTTTCTTTAATATGTTCAAAACGACATGCTTGCATCCATTGAATGCAATGGATACATTCCAGATATTTGGGGTTATTTTTAAAAAATGGAATATTTCTTGACATGTTTTATTATTTGTCCCTTCTGGAAAGCAATGGATTTCCTTTTAGCATCAAAGACAATAGCCATAAAATACTGATAAGTTAATTCATTATTTCCAGTAGATCTACATTGGTTTCTCTCTAATAGTTTTTCTTAAAACTACCATCATACAACACTGCCCTATACATTTATGTTAAATTTTTTACTCATCTCAGAGAAGTAACAGATACTTGTTTTCCATCTGAAGCAGCTATGTGGTGTCTAAAGTTCATATTAATAAATAGTAGTGTAGCAAACAGGTAGAATTCTTCAAACTACTTACCACATTCTGTCAAACTCCACTGGGCTCAATATTACCATGAAAATGTTTTTGAAT